TCTCACTCACTCACTCATACTTAAGATCTACATAGAGTTATTTATTGGCATATTTATAAATGTAGAAATATAGTGATTGGGATAGAGCGTGAAAGAAAGAGAGAGATGCACCCGTGGCCCCCGTTGAACCGGTCATCCAATGTACATTTAACCAGTTAGGAGCATTCTGTTTTCAATGTGTCTCAAGAGTAATAGTTTCCCTTCAGAAAGAGGAAGAGGGGACAGTTATACTTTCGTGCGCTTCTGTGAAATGGTCAAATGGTGGCCAATTTACAATGCAGACCATTCATCCTTAACTTTCCTAATGTTTCTCCTTAACGTTCTTTAAAGCACTTAATTCTTAACGTCACTCCATCTGTTTGATTCTTACCAGTCTCTCTTCGCTGATGACATCACTATTTCCATTTTAGTCCTCAGATTCACAGTATCTGAGGTCTGAACTAGGGACGTCAAACTCAGCAGAGAAGAGTGAAACCTTGTCAAACCGCACTAATAAAGTGTTTTAATAACAATCACTTTCGTTGGTCAAAGTTTGACCACCGACCCATTTATAAGATGGCGTTATTGACACTAAGTGACACATTGAGAGAAAATATTTCGTCAAAATGTTGGAATAAATGTCTTAAGGACTTTGCTCCACTTCAAACTGAATCGGATGCAAAATTTAATACAAACTGAAAAATCGTCCCTAAATTCAATAACCCGGTAGCACACTCAGTCAGTTATATACAGGTCTAAGGAAATTAAAGCAATCTTTATATGCACAATAAGTCAGGTTCTCAAGGTGGTCCTTGAGAACTTGCCTCTTTATTTGGCTGTGCTATAGGGTGCTGGTTTGTGGTGACCGCAGAGACTTTGGAGTGGATCTTTTTTTCTAATAGGCTAACAATGTCACAGCGCAATACCTTTAAAACTCCCTTAAAAATGAAATTCATTAAATAAAAGGTTCTTTCAGGCCGTGATGTGAGGCAGCTTCTACTTATCTGAAATATGTTTTTCTAAATTTCAACAATTATATCCTTGTTTTGTATTATATTTTAGGTGTGTTAACTATACTAGCTTGAGCAATCTTCAAATCTGTCTTTTGGATAGGTACCAGTGCAACACTAGCTGATTAAAATCGTTAAAATATAAATAGCACAACTAGTTTTAACATTTTATATGTAATTTTTCTCTAATCATAGGATTGTAATCTTGAGAGAAAATGGTGAGCTTCATTTTTATGAGACCATGAATATGTCACAATAATTGGTTTAAAATATTTAATATTTTTTTAGCTTATAAACTCAATATTTTATATCAAAGTTATGCATAGTTGATGAGCACTTATTGTTGTGTTTAAATGCCCATTATCTAATAATATTTCTAATTAAGACTTACTAAGATATTAGGTTGAACATAGGGAAATTAATTAATCTATCATGAAAAATTAATTTTGTTAATTTGTAGATCAGATTTAATATTTTATCACTATTTAATGGAAAGAATAAAATAGAAGTATGAAGTGAGAAAAATAAAGAGAACGGAGAAGGTAAAGAGGAAAAGAGAGAAAGAGAAAAGAGAGATCTCTCATGAAAGAATGAGAAAGAGAGGAAAAGAGAGAGGGATCTCGTGAGAGGGAGAGAATGGGAGAGATTTCATGAGAGAGAGAAAAAGAGAGAAAGAGGGAGAAAGATCTATCAAGAGAGAGAAAGAGAGGGAGATCGATGGAGAGAGAGGGAGAGAGAGATAAAGAGAGAGAGGAAGAGGTCTCACGAGAGAGAGGGAGAGAAAAACATGGATGAGTAATTAGGAAAGAGAAATAATGGTTAACTTTTTTTATGGTGATTTAGTTTCACACGTAACTCGAGTTGACCACATTTATCAGACAAATGTATGTTTGAGAATTCACACACATGACATGAGATTAGTCACGAGTGTCTTCAACTTATTTGAACACTTTAATGCTCATTAATGAACCTTTAATCTTACTAATTTCACTTTCAAAATTAGAAAAATAATGTTCTTCATGGAATGTCGAGAACATGAATACTTCAAGATTCTATTGCAAAAATTAATAAAAAATAAGTTGAACACAATTTCAGTTTGATCTGAGATGAGTTTCAAAAGATTTAGAAGAGGAACGAAGGTCATTTATCAGATTTTTACTCAGTTGTAGTCATTTCTATCAGAACATGTACGAAACAAAAATAACTTGCTGTAAAATATAAATAATTGATGAAAGCATGTAAATAAATATTGAAAGTGAGTAAACAAATGTTGCCTAACATTGGTCTACTTCTTGAGCAACTAGAGATGCCAATATGGTGGCTTGATTTTGTTCAATCATGTCACACTATGCTAAAAGCTATAAAAGTATCATTTGGAAATAAGCTTGTTTACTCAATGTGATTTTGTTCAATCATGTCACACATTTTGTCAATGTGATTCGCGGAGCATCATTACTAAAATTATTAAATGATTATGGATAAAAGAATCACGAATCTATCAAGTAAATCATTTCCGATTGATCGATGAACAAGCCATCATCGAGAGAAGGACGACCTACTAGGAGACGAGTCATCACCTCTTGAGAGTGTATTAGATGCGATGAAGAGCTTCATCTTGCTGCGTGGACTTGAGGATGAAGAGCCTCATTTTGCTGTATGAACTTGAGGATGAAGCTCCCTAAGACATACCCTACCTCCATCCAACTCATCTCTGTAGGGTGACAACTACCAAAGAGCTACAAAGTCATTATTTTTCTACACCTTCATTAGGTGATAGTCACCGAAGATGATTCGATGACTCACTTCATTAATTTCTAAACTTCACAAGAAGATCTAGAGATTTTTCACATCGTCCTTGTCTAAAGAGAGCCTTTGAGGCCATAAATATTGCACAATAATCCTTCCAAACACTCAAGATTCCAACGCATCACCAACACATCATTATTGTGATGTTAGAACTCTATTTTATTATTTTTTAACTAGTTTAACTTCCATCATCATTTTCTAGACTTTGCAAAGATAAACTATGCATGATATAACACTGGCTAGAGAAACATACAATAGCATACCAGATTTGAATAATCCTTACATGGGGATAAAACCAAGGAATAATGGAGAAATATTTCTCACTTATAAGATCTCTAAGTTCACTATACTTTAACATCACCTTCTCCGCCTGTGCTTCACAACACCTTGACAGCTGTGTTTTATAACTCTTACTAACAGCAAGAATACCCCTTTTCTCGACTAATGAGTATTTGTAAGGACTCATGTTGACATCACATATCAACATAGAGAATTCGAGATATGATCATCATAGATTCTTGTATATTTTCAGCTGAAACCATAATGATTACGAAATGATATAACTCGAACATAGAGTATTCTTGTTTTCCTATTGCTCAAAAATTATGACATAACTTACCATTTTCCTCAAATAAATTTTCCTCATTGCATATTTTATGGCTATTGGGAGAGGATGGGCCTTATAAGCTCTTGATACACTCCTCTCCATGGGTGGCATAATTCAAAAATTCAAGGGAGCAGCGTTAAATCTTTTATGAGAACGTTAGGTCATTAAATTTATTCTTGTAGGAAGCCTTGAAGATCTGTTTATAAATGAATTTTTTAATTAAATTAAAGTCATTGACTAGATTTCTTTTATCAAAAGTAAACCTCATAGTATGGAAATCTTGTAATGAATGTATACTTAAAATTATTATCTTACATGGCTCTTTTCTAGGCTAAAGTGTTTGGTTTGTAGTATCATTTCAGATGTTATGAGTTCGCTCATTTTTTAGAGGTACTTCGTCTCTTTCCAAATATGGGCCCTTGAATGAAACCCATAAACAAGAATACACCTGGCCTCCGCTTGGTAGGCCAGAGTTCGCCTGCAGGGCAGCATTATTCCACGCCTGGGGCCATACCGGTTCATATCCTAAACAAACCCTTAATACACCTTGACTCGGCCCAGCAATCTCGTACCCAAGAAGCCCAAAAAAGGCCTTAGGACTGCGGCATAGAGAATAGGACGGAGAAACTGTATAAGGGATCATGTTGTCCTGGCAAGGGGCTATCGTAGACGGACTAGGTTGAAATGAAATATAGCCGACTTAAGTTTCGTTCTTCAAAAAACTTTCGTATACTATCGAAACAAAGCCTTCTGGATAGTATCTCCCATTTCTCTGTATCCTTCTCTCCATTTGTCTACTTGTGTTCTCTCTAAACAGTAGAAAGAGAACGTTGGTAGCACCTATTACGTGTAAAAGAGCAATTAGTTGAGTATTAGGCTGATTCGGTTGGTGATTCGTCCCGAGACTTGGGGATTAATGATTATTTACTCAGGTCGGTTGATCTTAGTCCATATTTGGAGACCAGGAAGCTTTGAAAATTGCGGGGGAGATGCAATCCCCTCGTCCTATGAGATTTTGTGTTCTGTTCAGTTCACATTTGTTTCCTAAGTGGTTCCCTTTAGTGGACTTTAACTTCTTCAACGACTAAGAGATGTTTCAAGAACCCCTTGAATCCATGGATTCGGTAATCAAGTGAAGAGAGGGGGGGGTGAGAGGCAATGATCGATGGATGGAAATAGACTGACAGATAGATAGGAAGACTACGCTCGAGAGCGAGAGAGAGAGAGTAGGAGTGGGAAAGGGAAACGGAGGAAACGTGCATAGATCGATTAAAAAACACCCAGACAGACGGACAGACTGATGTAGCTAGGGATACAGATAGAGAGGAACATGGGAATCGTTGCAGATAAAGAGAGGAAGCTAGGTCCATGGATAGAGGACACAGATAGATAAATATAGAACATGCGTGGGAGAGAAAGAGAGCGAGGGGGAGTCATTCATAGCCCCAGGGAGAGACCATATTTAGCCAACAGCAAGTAGGCCTTCATTTATTGTTGTAACATATTAGTCAGCCTCGCTGAGGTAACTGACAAGCGTACGGCAACGCAGACTTCCATGCTATTACTGCTATAGCCGCGTCCATAAATTCTTCAACAGTTCACGGCTTCGCCTTCGCTGGGGACGGATCTATGGGAGAAGCACAGCAGCTGCAGCAGCCATTCACTGGCTTCGGGGTGCAGCAGACACAAGCGGGACAGAAAATCGGGGGCCTTCTCGGGATGTACTCTGCAAGAAAATCGATACAGATACATGAGATTCGCCATGACAACTCACTGGCTGGAGCCCAATTTCCAGGAGGGAAGTGGCAAGGCGTAGACGCGCCAGAGATCAGGTAGCACCAAACCTTGAGCCATCCGGCGAGTCGCCTCGGCAGGGATGGCCGGGGCGAGAACCAGGGCGAGGAGGATGAGAACCGCAGTCACCGCGATTGGCGAGCCTCTAACAGCCATTTCCCTCACATACTCTGAACGACAGTCTCTGACGCTTGTTTATAGCACGAACCCGAGGACTAAACTGGAAACTGGAAATGGCGACGTCCTTGGCGAAGTGCGACCAGTAAGAATTTTCACAGCTGGAGAAACGTCAACCATGACATACTCTAAAAGGTTCAAGCGATGAAGTGTCAACCATTTGACCACGTAATTGTAGTGCACGACAGTATTACTGTTCCCACTTATTCTTTCTGAAGAGAGACTACTATTACCCGCGAGAATGGACACTACCAAAGAGAAGGCTTACAAATCGTCAAATGTAAGTGGGATGATCGGTTCAACCGAGGCCGCAGGTGGATCCCTCTCTCTCCCTATCTTGCTCGCAATATCTGTAGCATACGCGTAAATAAGTAGGAATATAAATATTTTGTCTATTGATGCAAAGAGAGTGACTGAGAATAAGCGTGCATATATGAGAGGGTGGTTTAATAAAAGGAATTAAATGATAAGAATTAAATGTCAAGGCTAAAAATTTCAAGAAATTTATGGGATAAATGTTTGAATTTGAGGACAGGTTTTGTAGCGTTTTATACGAGCACTTTATGGGTTTCCTTTTGGGTCCAGATTTGGATTGAAACATAGACAAGTCAATCAAAGAGCGAACACTTTACATCTGAAATGATACAATAAATATTGGTTTTTATGGTAGAAAGGAACCAGGGACGATGTACTTTGCATCTTGGTCTAGAGTTTCGTCTGAAGAAGCCTGTGGAAAATTGCGCGATAAGGGTATCCTGTCTGGGAGTTTTCCTAGAAGGCTCGAACCAGGTTGAAGTAAAATCGATTTTATAAGACATAGAATCGATTCCTTGTTTTAAGTCGATGAGAAAAAGAGGAAGATTAATAGAAAAACAAAGACTCTTGCTTCTCTCTCTCTATCTCTCTCTTTCTGTCCTCTCTCTCCCGGTATCTATCTAGGACCTAGTCTATGTCAATCTTTCTATCCATATCTATCTAGGAACCTGTCTAACGATTAGCAGAGAGAGACTGATAGACATGTCCCTAGAAAACATAGGGAAAGAAGGGGAGATGGATAGCGATGAATTTTCGCAGCTGGAATAACGTCTAAGATGATGAAGTACTCTAAAAGGTTTTAGAGATGAATTGTCAACCATTTGACGAAGTGATGGCAGTGTAAGACAATATTATTGTTCCCACTTATTCTTTCTGAAGAGAGAGACTAATATTACCCGCAAGAATGGACACTTCCAAAGAGAAGGCTGCCAAATCGTCAAATGCATATCGGATGACCGGTTCAACCGAGGCCGCAGGTTTATCCCTCTCTCTCCCTTTTGTCTTGGTGGTTTTAGAGATGGATTGTCAATCATTTGACGAAGTGATGGCAGTGTAAGACAATATTATTGTTCCCATTTATTCTTTCTGAAGAAAGACTAATATTACCCGCAAGAATGGACACTTCGAAAGAGAAGGCTGCCAACCGAGGCTACAGGTTTTAATACATAAAGTATATGCGTGGATAAAGATGTATATAAATATTTTTTCTCTATTTATACAAAGTGAATGGCAGCGAATAAGTGTACATGCATGAGTGGGCAGTTTAATAAACAGAATGAAATGATAAGTTTTGACTATCAAATCTGAAACTTTCAAGAAATTGATGCAAAAAAACTCTGAATACGTGGGTCAGTTCTCTTTGCTCGAACGGAAATCCATTTTGATGTTGAAAAATTTGCCTATTTGCAAAAGCAAGATGTCATTTTATTAATACTTGAGAATATTTATACCCTAGAATTTTACCACGAGATACAGCAATGTCCTCTGGAAATGGGTCCCATGAGTTTGGAAATAACCGCTACTCTTCTGTGGTCATGCTAAATTTTCAAGGTTACATAGCTGACTTCTTCGATGTAGAAATTTTAGTGAAGAAAATGATGTACAAGTTACTTCAACCAAAAACATACCCATAGAAAGATGTTGTCATGACGAGTGTTAATTGACAAAAGAGGCTGGTGATTTTGACGTTCTGCGCGTGGGCACTTTGGGATTAATGATTGTTCTCTTTCTGCGTGTGGACGGAGATGATATTTTCTCAGGTCGGTTGCTCTTTGTCCATATTTGGAGACCAGAAAACTTTGAAAATTGCGGGGAAGATGGCAGCCCTTCGGCCTACAAGATCTAGTGTCGTGTTCAGTTCACATTTGTTTCCACAGTGGTTTCCTTTAGTGGACTTTCCCTTAACTTCTTCGACGACTAAGAGATGTTCGGAGGACCCCTTGAATCCATGGATTCCGTAATCAAGTAGAAAAGGGGGAAAAGAGACAATGATCGATGGATGGAAATAGACTGACAGATAGATAGGAAGACTACGCTCGAGAGCGAAAGAGAGAGAAGTAGAAGTAGGAGTGGGAAAAGGAGACGCAGCGAGATGTGCATAAATCGATTAAAGAACACACAGACAGACGGACAGACTGATGTAGCGAGGGATACAATAAGCAAGAAGACTACAAGTGAGACAAACAGAGAGGAATATAGAAATCGTTGCAGATAAAGAGAGACAAGTAGTTCCATGGATAGAGGATACAGATAGATAAATATAGAAGGTGCGTGAGAGAGAAAGAGAGCGAGGGGGAGACGTTCATTGCCCCAGGGAGAGACCATATTTAGCCAACAGCTGGTAGGCCTTCATTTATTGTTGTAACATATTAGTCAGCCTCGCTGAGGTAACTGACAAGTGTACGGAAGCAGAGACTCCCCACTAGAGAAGGGGAGACTTCCATGTTATTACTACCTATAGCTGCGTCTGTAAATTTGTCAATAGTATACGGTTTCGCCTTTGCTCGGGACGGATCTATAAGAGAAGCACAGCAGGGGAAGCAGCCATTGACCGGCTTTAGGGTGAAGCAAACACAATCGAGATAGATAATCGGGGGCATTCTTGGGGTGTACCCTACAGGAAAATGAATATAGATACTGAAGGGAAATAATAGGACAGAAACTTGAAGAGAATATGTTGATTTTAGAAAGAATGGTTTAAGGAGGAAGAGAAGAAAATGAATTTCGCGAGGAGAGAGAGAGTATTTATAACACTTAACTACCTCATGTGGGCCAGCCCCCTTTTTGGCCTACTAAAGACGAAGAAACTAAAGCCCACTAAAAGACAAAAACTGCATAATAAGGACGAAATAATGTCTCTTTAAATGTGAAAAACTTCAAGTAGCTTAGTGCCTTAGTAAAGCCATATGCCACTTCATCCATTGTTCAGAAAAATCTTATCTCGATATAATTTATAGTAACTAAATCTTTGTCATATTTCAATATATTTTTTTTGTTCATGAAAAACTAAATTCTTTGTCATAGAAATAGTTGAAATGTTGTTGCAATAAATTATTGTAAGTGTCGATCGTGAAAGATTGACATCATGTAAGATTCTTTGCATCCATTTCGCTTGTTGTGCAGCCATTGAAGTAGTGATATACTAAACTTCTGAAGATGATAATATAGTAGATTCTTATTTTTTAGAAGCCCATGAGATTGCACTTGAACCAAATCTGAAAACAAAATCACATGTACTTTTTTTTTCATCAACATAACCTACCCAATCACTATCTAAATAATTAGACAAGTTAAATTCAAAAATATGTTGATATAAATTTTCATAATTGATAGTTCTATGAATATATCAAAAATATTCTCTTTGTTGCTCCAAGATAATAAACTGAGGGTGAATGCATAAATCTTGAAATCATACTAGTTGAAAATAATATATCTTTTATATAAAAATACATTCATTTTTATACAAAGTATGAGTCAAATACATTAAATCATTAACAATATTTCTATAAAAATATTCATTCATTTTTATAGTCCCATCATCAAGACACAATTTATCATTTATATTGATAAGAGTGGAACAAGTCTTACAATGAAATATATTAAACTTCTTGAGTAAGTCACATGAATATTTTTCTTGTGAAATAACTATATAATAATCTTTTTGAATGATTTAAAGTCTAAGAAAATACTGAAGCAATCTCAAATTTGCCACACCAAATTCAGCCATCATATAATTCTTGAAATCTGAAATTAGTGACAAAGATGATTTACTATATATAATATCATCAACATAAACACAAACAATCAAAATATCTTTATCTTGAATCTGGATATAAAGTATTGGCTCATTGTCATTTCTCTGAAAATGATACTTATGTAAATACAAATCAAATCTACTGTACCATGCTCTAGGTGTTACTTAAGGCCATAAAGTGACTTCTTCAATTTATCAACTTTTTTCTTTCCCTTCAATAATAAAATCTATGGCTGCTCAACATACACATCTTCATTTAAATAATTATTCAAAAAATTATATTTAACATGAAATTAAAATAGCTTCTATTTCATTTGTGCTGCCAAAGCCAAAATAATATAGATTGTTTTAAGTTATGCTATTGGAGAAAAAGTTTCAAAATAACCAATACCTTCTTGTTATGCATATCCCTTCACCACTAATCTTGCATTGAATTTTTGAACATTACCATCAAGTTTATACTTTACCTTATAAACTCACTTGACTCTAATTTCTTTAGTCTTTGATTGTAAATTCATCAACTCCCATGTGTCATTCTTCTCAATTGTTGTAATTTCTTCTTGCATTGCCTTCTTCCATTCATCTTTGTCTTATGCTTCCTCACAATTTATTAGCTCTATAATCATAAGAGAAAAAATACAAAATTCATTAATATCACTTAAGGATCTCATTCTTTTTGCAAGACTTGATAATTCTGGACTTGAATCACTTGGAGAAGATCCTCAAGGTGAAGTAGATGACGTAGAAGTTTCACCCATTGAATCTTGACTAGTTTCCATAATTTCCTAATATTCACAAGAAGATTTTTGGTGCATTAGATTTATATTCTAATTCTAGCAAGCATATTCATCAAATATAATATCACGACGAATCAATAACTTATTTGTTTCAGAATTATATAAATGCTAAC